GAGAGCGGGGCCACAGCAGGGCTCGCTGCCCTGCCCGCGGCACTCTGGCCGCCAGAGGGGGAGAGCCGAGCCCCAGCCGGGGCTCGCCGCCCTCCCCCCAGGGCTCCGGCCGCCCTCCCCCCCGGCGCCCTGCCCCCGGCGCTCTGGCCGCCGGGGGGGGGAGAGCCGAGCCCCAGCCGGGGCTCGCTGCCCTCCCCCTGGGGCTCCGGGCGCCCTGCCCCCGGCCGCCGGGGGGAGAGCGGAGCCCCCGCCGGGGCTCGTTGCCCTCTGCCTGGAGGCTTTTTCGCCTGGGGCGGCGAAAAAGCCAGAGCCTGCCCTGCCGATACTGGCCCTGGTCTGATGTAGTATGACAATTCCTATGTTTTTAAGTTCCCTCGGTCTGGCGTGGCTAAAACTTGGATTATAGCTATTGGAATAAGAGCACAGGTGTTTTTATTACTGTTTTGGGGTGTGGGCTGAGCAGACAAGGCAGGGTAACTGTTTCCTTCCCCACATCTGCTTTAGGGACTGGTGGTGATGTCCTCTGAACTAGAAGAAGTGGTAAGCAGCATCTTGAAAGGCAGAATTCCAGGAATGTGGATGAATAAATCTTACCCAAGCCTCAAACCACTTGGCAGCTATGTGAATGACTTTCTTACCAGATTAAAGTTCTTACAGGTGAGCACACACTGATTATGCAACTCTGGCCTGATTTTTCTCTTGGTCTCAGGTGACACCATAAGAGAATGGAAACACACTTGTATTTTGCACAATGAATGTATAAAGAGTTTAGTTTGCATAGGGTTGTGCACAGCAGTGTGCTCATCAGTGCATATAATAAACCACTAAACTTGGTTATGTACCATACACCTCATTAAGATTGCTGCTGTCTATTAAAACTCCTGCATGACAGATGGGCAATGTTGGTGCTCACTGTGGATTCTCTAAAGGCCTCTTAACTGCCAACTGTTACTGGCACACACAACTGTGCGGTGTTCAGTGAAGTTTAATAAACAGTATTACATTTATTAACGCATAAGACAAAAATACTGTTGATGGGCCTTTCCACTGAATTTCTGAAGTTGGGTACTAGAGAGTGAGCATTAAAATGATTTCCTAACAGGCCAAATACTGTACTTACAGTAAATTGCTTGGGAATTTGATGGCTGAGGGGAGTAGCCACAAACTATGGAGTCCTTCCCCTCTAGGTTGCTGGTTCACATAAAGTCTGACTAAAATGTTATCAGGTTGCTAGGATTGTGTGATCTCAGTCAGTTCTAAACTGATGCTCACATTAAAAGCTACTTGAGGAACAGGACTGTCCTTTTTCAGTAGCCAGTGGCATTTTGGACAGTGTTTTTGTTGGCTGTCTAAAATACTAGTGGCTTCTGCAAAAAGACAATTTTTGTGATATGTCTTTTAATACTATTCTAAATTATTTTTTGCCTCCTAATGATTTCAAGGTACATTTTTTTTCTCTTTTTGTGCTGTAGCTATGGTATGAAAATGGAACTCCACCAGTCTTTTGGCTTTCAGGATTTTTCTTCACTCAAGCCTTCTTAACTGGTGCCCAGCAGAACTATGCCAGAAAATACACCATTCCAATTGACCTACTAGGGTTTGACTATGAAGTGCTGGAGGACAAGGAATACAAAAATGCTCCTGAAGATGGTAAACAAACAAGCTTTATTAGCCACCTACACTGATGTACATGTAGGAAGTGTTATTCAGGGGTTACAGGTAGATACATTCCTGGCATTAACAGGCATTAAGCACTTAATGCACAGAATCCTGGAAAATATAGGCCACAGTGTGATTCACTAATGTCACTAAAGGAGGCTTTCACATTAAAGGCATAAAAATGACAACATTCAACAAAATACCTTTTGAATAATCCTAGTAGAACACCACAAATTAAATATCAACCAGACCATTCAGGCGACCTAGTGTCTGGTCAGTAGACCTCCTGAAGCAGGATTGTTCCATACACTATGTTATCTGGGGCAGATCCTCAGTGGAGCTATGACAATTACACCAGCTGAGGATCTGGTCAAGTGCTTTACCCAGGATCTACCACCTGCCTTAAGACACTTTTCCACCATCTAACATATTTCAAGTGATATTTAGCCTGAATTTTCCTGTTCTTCATTTCACCCTATTACTTTAGTTCTGTGCCCCAGTATTTAGAACATTTCACTAACCCAGCTGTGGGTCACGACCCTGTTTTAAGGGGGTCGCCAGGGCTGGCTTAGACTTGCTGAGGCCCAGGGCTGAAGCTGTAGCTCTGGGTGGTGAGGCTTAGATTACAGGCCCCCTGCCTGGCTTGAGTTTTATTTTTGAGTAGCTATTAACTGCCAGCCAACATTCAGAGAGGTGAATACAGTATGGTTACTAAGAAGTACCTACATTAAGTGAACATGAAGAATTGGGGACGAAAAGACTGTACCCAACTGAAGTGCCAAATTACTTTGCACTACAGCCACAGCCCTTGACCATCCCTCCTCGTAGTCAGGGATTATGAGGAAGGAGGCATAAAAGTCAGCCCCATCCCTACTAAGGACTCCAACATAGCAGGGCTACCCCCATCAGAGGACATGGGCAGTCTCAACTCCTTTTGTACCACCTGAGGGGTACTGGGTCAAAAAACTGGCACATGGATTTCTGTATTATTCAGTTGCACTATAGCCTCATGCATGATCTAAACAGTGTATGATTAAAAAAGCAGATCTAATTTCACACAGACTTCTAGTACATTTGGTTTCTGTGCCCAAACATCTTTTTATAACTTTCTGCTTAATTCAGGGGTCTACATTCGAGGATTGTTCCTGGATGGAGCTCGCTGGGACAGAAAAACTAAGAAGCTAGCAGAATCTTATCCGAAAATCCTCTATGATACAGTACCTGTGGTCAGTATGACAGTCTAGCATGGCAGGCTTAGCTTCGAACAATAATGTTCTAAAGGAGTACAAAAAAAAAAGAAAGACATTTTTTCTAAGTAAAAACTTTTGCCATCAGAGCTACCTTAGTCATGGTCTCCACATGGCTGTGTGGTAACCAATGTGAAGTAGCAACTTGTATATTTTTTTTACATATATTGAACTGAAAATATTTTGAGCAGCAGATCAGGCAATTTGTATGCAACAGAGCACTGAGCATCCACAATTCAAACTGAAGTCAAGGGGAGGACTTTTTGCAGGGAGGGGAAGGAGCACTCAGCACTTTTCTGGATTATGCACAAGTTACTGGTGAACTATAGTGGGTCTAGGAAGTATTTAGTGAGTTGTGGTTCACATTTAAAGTCTTACAGACTTTACCCAGAAAGGTAAAGAGTTTATTCTGTACTTTATCGTAGATGTGGTTAAAGCCTTGCAAGAGGTCAGACATTTCACAACGACCAAGTTACGTTGCTCCAGTGTACAAGACAAGTGAGAGAAGAGGAACCCTCTCCACTACGGGACATTCTACCAACTTTGTGATAGCAATGATTCTTCCTTCAGATAAACCAGAACAACACTGGATTGGACGGGGTGTGGCACTATTATGCCAACTTAATTCCTAAATTTAGCATGGACATTTATAGATGCTTATTTTTGAGATGAATCATTTGTGTAAGATGCATTTCAATTTTTAAATACTATTGTTTAGTGAAATCAAAATATTTAAACAAATCCATTACACTTCTGCCTTTCAAGAGATTTAAAAAAATACTAAAATATAAAATAAAGCTGTGTAATAAAAAACTTTATAAAAACCAACCAGTATGTTTGCTCCTTGAATAATTTTATTTTCTGAAGCTCCTTATAAATAAGGAACATACATAAAATGAACACAACACTGCTGACAATGAACCAAACAGCATTTGATCATTCCCAGCTTTATAAAAATTATTTAAATGATTTAGTTATAACAAAAAAAGATTTATAGCTCAGCAAGTATCTTGTAGGACCATAATCACATTTTTAAACTATAAACCGTAATGGAAAAAATTCACACTGCATCTAGCTACTATAGTATTTTCTAAGCATAATCACTGCTGATTGAGTGCAATGTGATCTACATCAAAATTCATATGGGATGTCACACAGTGACAGCATTGTAATATACAAGTAACATTTATGCCCTCCAACGAATACATGTTAAATGAGACTGTATTCAAGCAGAATGGAATGTTGAAGCCAAGTATACTGAAATTCAGATTGTCTGTAACTTGACATAAAACTACACTGAATTGGTTTGAAATTAACACTGGTGGAAACCTACAGAAGAAGCCACAGCTGTTATATTGCTCTTCACAATCACAATAAATAGTAGCAAACAAGGAAACAAATTCCACTCTCAGTGGAAAATGCAACACCTAATGCTTTAATATGACCATGTTCCTCCAAGTGGGAAAAAGGTCTTCTGGAAACTTAGTACCTTAGTACCATTTTCAAACATGAATTGGGCACTTAGCCCCCTCGATACCTTTGAGGATCTGGGCCTAACTCCCATTGATTTCAATAGGAGTTAGGCACCTAAATATCTTTGAGTATCTGGACCTCTGTCTCATTGAAATTCAGTGGCACTTATGCTCCTAAGGCCTGGTCTACACCTAAAACTTAGCTCGACCTAGCTACATTGGTCAGGGGTGTGAAATAAGAGATGTAGTTAGACTGATCTAAGCACCGGTATAGACGCTGCTAGACTGACCGAAGAATTCTGTTGGTGACCTAACCACTGCCTCTTGATTTACCAGTGACAGAAAAACCATCGCTGTAGCAAGCGTCTACAGAACAGCAGTGCAGCTGTGCCACTGTAGTGTAGACATACCTTTATACTCCTAAGTCGTTTAGTTGCTTTTGAAAATTTTACCTAGCATATTTGTTACAAAAATCCACTCTAAACATTAAATGAGATGATGTCTGTGCTAATTAGGGTCTGATCTAGTCTTTTTATGTGCAAAATTCTAACTGACTTGAGTGTGTTTCGTGCACCAAGGACTGCAGAATTGGACCCTTGACTTTGATTTCTTCACTGAGGAAGCCACATCTTTTATAGAATGGACACTTAATACTGTATATGCAAGTTTCTTGATACTCGCAGGAGCCAACTTATACCTTTAAAATGTACAGACTGTTCCTGGGGGGAAGGAAGTGGCCGAGAAAAAGGAACAACTATATAGTTAAACTGAAGGGTTAAAAGTAAAGAGGAACAGGAATTAATTTTAAACCAGAATGACGATATTGACTGGCTCGTTAAGATGTTAAACCAGTGCAATTTTAGCAGGACACTGATGCTAAGCAGACTGAAACAAAACTTGACAGTGTGCAGCAAAATACAGCTTACCTGGCATACATAAAAACGAAAACTAGAACAGCAAGTTAAAAAAAGACCACCACCATGCTTAGGATTGGTCCTAGATTATCAAATCAGACTGCAGAATTCACAGGGCTTGTACATCGCACAAATTCACAATTTTAATAGGACAGCGGGGGAGAAAAGAAACTAATTCACATCTGGCAATACAAGCATCTCGGCAGTAAGCAAAGAAACTGATTCCAGCAGGTTAAGGATTTTGATGGTTCACCCTATCCTCCCAACTCACACGTACCGGTAATTTAATGACAGCTGCATTTATATACCCTAGATACCTAAGATATAACAATTAAAAAATATTAACTCCTTTATGCTGGAAGTGGGACTCTTCTAGCACACAGTCTATTGCCTGCAATGGCTGGTGCTATAAACTCTGATGCCAAGGCATGGAAGTAATACATTCAGACCTGATATTACAGCATTGTAAATGACCCACCAGTACTACATATACAGGGCATTATTATTATTTTTATAATCTTTGTATCTGGGTTCAGTACATTGGATTTCAGAAGATATTACTGTAAAAAGGAGAAAAAATTTGAATCCCAAAATAAATTGAACTGTTAAAACTGAGAAATTCCATTATGGATCCTTTGTTAGAGGTGCGTTTGCACAAACTCACAGCCACAATTTATCAGTAGTTTAGGTTGTAAGTGGCACCCAATGTTTAGTTTCTCAAGCAAAGACTCAGGAATAGCCCATTAACTTTCTGACATCAGGGACTTCCCCAAGTTAATACTAACGCTACTTCATTTTCCTACCAATAGCAAGGAGCTAACATCAAATAAATCTTAATCAGGAAAACTGATTCTCAATGGAATATAGCTCTTCGCAGCCGATTACACAGACCTGTGCATATTGCAACAGTCTGCCTCCTTAAACACGAACTTTAGAATGATGAAATGCAGTTTAATGTGTACCAAGATGTTTTAAACAGATTTTTTAAGTTCAAAAAAGCACAGTTTTTCCAGTCAGGTGCTAAGTGTAGCATTTAATTGTCTTAGGGTAACATCCACCATTGTGCAGAGGGCTAGCATGAGGTATACGTGGCATGTAAGCCTTATGTGGGAATTACACAGCACACAGACTTTGTGCAGGCCCACTGCAGAGGAATGGATTTCACCTTTAATGTTTTGTGGATTCTGTTAATGTGAAAAGACATTTCCTGAACAGACTAGGTCTTTCGCTGCCTGCTGATTTGTAAACAGTTGCACAATGCTTCATGTGCAGCACTCACAACGTTGTCTTTTCATATGCAACATTTCCTACTTAAGGTCTGTCACTTGAATTTGGAAGGTGCAGTTTGTGCACCATGTCTTATTTTAGTTAGCAAGCAGCAAAAGTTAATCGATGTGGAAACAAATAGACTGTACTTGTGTAGTAGTGCAAGCCACTGCCTTTTCTCTGAGCAATGTGCGTACAGTACAACAGTGCAGACTCAAAGCCACACAGTAACATCGTAACCACAGCAATTTCTGGAAATGGTCAAAACTGGATGTCAAACACAATTTTATCTTCATACAGTGCAATCACCAGCATGATAGCAAATCCAAGGAGCAAGCCTAAATTCTGGAGAATGAATTGCCCCACTGGACAATATCCATGTTCTTCATTATCGCCATCTCCATGAAGCATTTCTGGAAGCTGAAAAAGGAAACATTTTCAATAGTTTACAAATATTGTGATGGAAGTGAAATAACTGTCTAGTTCACAACAAGATACTTAGTAATAGCAATACCGAGACTCAGTTAGAAAAATTATCAACTACCGTGCAGCTGGCGTAGCAGCATGCTTAGAGGTAGTCAATGAAACACCACCTGATCTTGACCTTGATCTTATAAAACCATTGTCACCAACCCATTATATACTTTTCAAAAAGAAACTAGTAGGCGACAGCAGGGGTCTCCAAAGTGGGGTGCGCAAGAGGATCCTTGGGGGTGCACGGCAGGAGGAGAGCTTCTTTTTTTCTTCGGGTGTGAATCCGAGCGGCTTTTTTTTTTTTTTTTTTTTTTGCAAAAATGGTAGGGCCGGGGCGGCGGGGGGGGGTGCTCAAAATTTTTTTTACTAATAGGGGTGCGCGATCAAAAAAGTTTGGAGACCACTGGGCTACAGCAACCTCCTTTGGGCATTCAAATGCAGTCTTTTGGCCACTGTGTTGCTTGCTTATTTTGAACGTAAGCTCCTCAGGGCATGTCTACACAAACTCTTACTGTGTGGCAAGCTAGGACATAAGTGCAGCGTGCCGCACACTGAGTGTCCGTATGGACCTGCTGATGTGCACTAAATTTTCCCTAGTGTGCATTCATGTACTGTGGTTTGAAACACCTCAGCTTGCTGCACCCTGGGTAGACATACCCTTAGGACAGGAAACACACCTACTTCCTTTGAGCTTTGATCTTTTGAGTTAAAAGTTAAATAATTCTATTCAAGAAAACACACACACACACACACACACACACACACACACACACTGAGGTTAACACCTCTATCACAAAGGAAGTGTAAAAATGCTTTGTATATTGCTCCAGTAATTAAACTGCTATAAATACATTCTTGATATTATACTGATTGAGCTAATTAATTCTGCCATTTTTTGCCATACTGCATGCTTATTGGTAGGAAAGATAAGTTTTTCCCTTACGAGTTCTCAGAAAATCCCATAATCTAATTTTATTAGTGCATCCAAAGCTGTTACTCAAGCTTAACAGCCATGTATGACTAATTACTATTTTATATTACATATATTTATCAATACCTCTAAAGTATAAAAGTAATAGGAAACAACATGTAATTGTGTCAATTCAAGAGAAATTCCACATAAGCAATTACAAAAAAGTGGATTTTCTTGACATGCCTCATTAGAGATAGAGGCCAAACAATATTGAACACCTGTAGCTAAAAGAATCATGAACTTAACATTGGAAGCTCTGAAATTAAAAGGGACACTTTATACACATGGTGGTTGTACTAGAAACAGAAATATTTTTAAAAAAATGCTATTTCAAATCCCTACACAAGAAGAGCATGAGGAAAAATAAATGTAATTCTTTCCTTCATCCAAGGAACTCTTAACCTCAAGAAGAGACTTCCATACATAATGCAGGAGAAAAATACAATAAAGGAATTGTCTTCTAACTAGAAGACTTAAGTAATCCACAGAGAAATCAAGCTTGCTGATCCAGAATTCCGATTTATAAATTCTGTATGACGACAGGCATCGCTTTTCTGTGTATTGGTTATTCTTAATACCTGAATACACCACAAGTATCAGGAAAGAATGTGACAAGTTGTCAAGCCTGTGGCCTCTAACAGGACATGCATATTGCCCACCTGTCTTATACAACTGTCTGCTAGTAGCAGACTGCACAAGGCATCTGGTGACTTTAAAAAGCATTGAGACCTTAAATTTCTTTAAAAAAAAAAAAACACTTTATGGACCAATATGTTTATTAATTAGTTCTGAAGTAGGCTAGACGGTTTGCCGCTCCAGGTCAATGGGGGCTGCGGGAAGGGCGGCCAGCACATCCCTCGGCCCGCACCGCTTCCCGCAGCCCCCATTGGCCTGGAGCGGCGAACCAGGGCCAGTGGGAGACGCGATCGGCCGAACCTGCGGACTCGGCAGGTAAACAAACCGGCCCAGCCCACCAGGGGCTTTCCCTGAACAAGCGGCAGACCGGCTTTGAGAACCACTGTTCTAGAGTATGTCTACACTGCAGCTGGTGCGCAAGATGTCAACCTTGATGGGATATGTAAGGGTTAAGTAAAGACCTGGGAAACCACTGGTGTGCTGACATGGTATTAGGGAGTAGAAGCACGGGCCGTTTCTACGTTTGATAAATAAAATCCCATCCTTTTCCCTTCCCTTCTGCTTGCTAGGGATAGATAAGCATTGCAGCTGCATAAGGAATGTGGTTGTCTAAAGAATACCCTCCCTTCTTTTTCCAGCTACATAAACGAGCTTGGGGTCATGGCCCCTTCCTCCCTTTCCTATGAACTGCTGATTAAGGGAACTTGTGGCTGCAATTACTACAAAGAAATGTATTTTTAAGGTTAAAAGGTCTGTAGAATATGCTTAATGATATAAATAGAGGCGGGGATAATTATATCGAGTATATGGGCATTCATATTACTAAATAAGGGTTTTGGGGGTGTTGTAGTAAATGTGGGTATTTACATATTAACTTAGATAAAAGTGTGTGATGTGATTAACTCGGGGCTTACTCGACAACTGGGTCGAGGGGAACAAGTACCGCAATAAAGAAGCCTGTTTACTTAATCTGCCTCTGGGTCCTCCTGCTTCTTCTTTTCATCTCTAACAAAACTGTGATTTTTCATACACTACTTCTACCAGACTGTTTTGGCCATTCTTCTGAGTAGATCCTGGCATGTCTTGCAATCTAGATGTGATGGAGCAGATAGCACTACAGCCTCATCAGGGGAAGATGAAGAAGTGGCAGCTGGAGCAAGTTCGGAAGCGTGGTGATGTTTCTCAGTGGTCTGAAGTTGTGGTGGTGGAGCAGGAAACTCCTGAGGTTATTGACTGGGTTGAACTCTCAGACTCTACAAGGGAGTCCACTCTTACCCTGGAGTTGATAGAGGAGATGGGTCTTCTAAAGTGAAGAGGGCCCTAGGAGCTTAGTAGGACCAGGAAAGAGGGCCACAGGCATGTTGTCTACAAAACATGCGTGTGTGTATACCCATCAGGTGAAACACCAGTCCTTATAATGTCTGTGCCTGTTTTGATTGTACATGCACCCTTGGACTCCCCATCAGAGAAGAGACTCTCCCTGCTCTTATTTGAGACTGATGAAGAGAATGCATAGTCCTGCTGTAGAAGTGGAGCAGACCTAGTAGGAGTCCCTAAGCTTTGTTTAGGGACCTCCCTTATCGGTGCTGTATATACAATCTGTGCCAATCGCCTGCCAGAGCTTGGTATTCTAACTGCTGAAGGTAGTAAAGGACACTCAGGAAATTCAGACACCACCAAATCCCTCAGTACCACGAAGCTCAGTGTTGATACAGCCAGTACTGATGAAAATAAATTAGAAATCTTCAGGGCTAGAGTAGACAGTGTCAATGACAATGATACTGATGAAGCTGGTGAAGCTGATACAGAAAGCACTGTTGTTGAACTCCTTAAAAACAATACTGCAGCATCGGTGCAGGTGAATGCGATGGGCTGTTTTTACGTCAGTACCGACATATGGGTACTAGGGTGCCATGGGAAACCATATTCAAGCCTTGAGCAACCCTTAAGACAAGGCTAAGCTAGGCTCTCTCTGCCCTTTTTTCTTAGAAAGTCCTATTCAGTGATCTATTCTTTGGAAGAGCAATGATGAGGCCCCACAACTCTCAGACTTTGGGATTTGGGAACAGAAACCTCTGTGGACTAAGATGAAGTGGCTGGAGCCTGGGAACTGGTAGTGGCCGGGGCACTCTTGGAAGAAGACTGCTCAGATCCGAGTCTGTCTTGTGTACTGGACCAGAAGCAGGTCTTAGATCTATCCAGAGAAACAGTTTACGTGAGCGTCTCTTACTCTGAGTTTGTTTTGAAAATGAACATCAAATAGAATATTTGGCTAGTGAAGTGCCCTCACCTAAACAAAATGAACATTATGAGTGACCAGCATTAAAAGATATATAGCCATCTTGCATAAGGGCCAATACTTAAAACAGGGGGATTTTTGTTCGACCATAAAGGATAAAGACCGGGTACCAGGTAACAAAGACAAAAAAATAAAAAGAGAGAGACTAAAAAGGGAGCTTAATAACCCAAACTACAGAACCATCAAAATACGATATTAAAACTAGCCTACAGTCACTAACTATGCTGCTGCTCTAGAGTAAAGGACACTAATAGCAGTTCCATTTTTCAGCCATGTGCAATAATAAAGATCTGAGGGATGGTTGTCCTTGCTCCACCCTTTTGTGCTCTTGGAGGAGGGGTGCGAGGGCACTTAGCCCATGCAGGCACCCTAAAAGACTCCACACCAAGAGTGGAACACACATCAATCATCACTGAAGTTAAGATTTTGTCACGATTATTTTAAGTAAAAGTCAGGGACAGGTCGTAATAATAATAATAAAAAAAAAATAACGGAAGCCGGTGGCCTGTCTCTGACTTTTACTAAAAATGGAGGAGGGGGGGCATGACAGGGGATGACTGAAGCCCGAGGGGTGTATGTGAGAGAATGACCCCTGCTGCGTGGGGGGAAGAAGGGGGAAGAGCACCCGCTGCTTGTGCGGCTGACAGCTCCGGCCCCACTGGAGGTCCACGGAATCTCTGACTTCCGCGACATAAGCTTAGCCTTAAACATCACTTGAAGAAGCAACGTTTGTTAAATTTGACATTTGTCAAGAATTAACCTGCTAGCCATCAAAGCAGCATATTTACCAACAACCTTTTCTAAACATCCAAACGGATCTGTTTGGGACCAAATATATGCAGTTTTAGGATTGACCTCCACTTAAAATCAATCATGGACTGCCTTAGAGTATCCAAACACATCCTCACCCAGCAGCAAAAATCAAAAGATAGGCTAGAAGGATGACTTTGTCACTGGGAGAGCAACAAGTGGCATTAAACAAGTTTTTGTATCTTAACATGCAACCCTGAGAGTGAAGGAATTTGGTCAGATGAAAACCCAAACAGGTGGGACACTGCAAAACACTGGAGGTTTTCCCCATGAATTTACTATACTATATTTTTTAAGAGATAGCAAGGTATGAATGGCTGTCTAGATATTTGCCTGTAGGTTTGCTTTATTTTGTGCAATACAAAAAAAATAAGTTACACTGTCGGGTTATTTAAAGTCACAGATTTCATACAAGCAGAATAAGGTAATGCGAAACGATAATCTTACCATATCTACCAATGCAACATAAAGGAACATGCCCGCGGTGACTGCAAAGATCCATAAAGTGATGTTATTGGCATACTGTCCAACAGCTGTGCCTATCAGCATCCCTACGTAAGCCATCATAGCAGACAGGAGGTTGTACACAATGGCTTGCTTTACTGTCATACCTGCTTTAAGCAGCACGGCAAAATCACCTGAAATTGAAAAAGAATAATGAAAGTTTTTAATTGTCATGATCCCACAAGAGACTAAATAGATGCATCTGCCCTCAGTTATATTATCTAATCTATCTAAGGAACTACTAAAGTGCCTATCGCTGTGGCAAACATACTGGAGGCTTTTTTTAAGGGGAAAAGGGGCAACAGCGTATGACTACATAGCCTACAATACATATCACTTCCTTGATTAAAATTTAGTTTCAAAGGCAATCATGACTCATACTAGCTGATGAGGGGCATTAACAGAGCTCTGAAAGGATCCCAATCCAGCCCTCCCAACTACAGTGCAGTTATAGTTAGTTAGATCTGTATGTACGAAAAGAGAGAAGTTCAGAGAGTGGGGTGCTGGCTTTTTAATGAAAAATGCAGGTTCATTCTTGACCAGTCCCTCAGATCTTATTAGCGTTCTTCTCATCTTGACAGATTCTACTTTGCATGTGCATAAGGATGATAAACAGGCATTAGTGCCAGAAGGGAGCTACAGCATATGAAGTTGGAAGCACTGGGGAAGGGAAGAGAGTGATGGTCAAACAGATTTTCAGAAGAAAGCAAGATTACACAAATCCACACTGATTTATACATTACTGGCTTGCGATGTTACATTAACCTTGTATCCTATTGTGATGTCAGTATTAAGTATTTGCTACACTATGATTATTTCCAACACTAATATAGGTGTAGAGAGATGGGGTTTGCACCTCCTTTTGTTGGTTTATTTTAAAGCTAGTTTTAGTAGAAATCACCTGTGTCCAAAGATGCAGGACAATAGAATTTCCAGTGCAGTGGACTTGCCCCAAGTTCTATTTCAACAGTTCTGTTTCTGTCAAACATATTATTTGTGAATTCTGGGGTGAAAAGTGACACTGATGCACCCCATGAGAACAGAAGACTTCATGTCCGATGTAATGCAATATTTGGGATTACTCACAGTGATCTAAAACTGAATGTAAGTAGCAAGCATCTCCCACTGACAATTTAATCAGAGTTGACAGTCAGATGAAAAAAAAAAAAAATGGTTACCTACCTCCCGTAACTCTCGTTCTTCAGGATGTGTTGCTCGTGTCCATTCCATTCTAGGTGTGCACACGCCCACGTGTGCGGTTGCTAGAGATTTTTGCATTAGTAGGATCCGTAGGGTCAGCAGTGGCGCCCCCTTGAGTGCCGCACTCATGCGCCGGTATATCAGGTGCTGCCAACCCTACGCCCTCATTTTCTTCTTGCCGGCAACTCCAAAAGAGGGGCAGGAAGAACAACAGTTAGGAGAGGTAGGTAACTGTTGTTTCTTCTTCAAGTACTTGCTCATGTTGATTCCATTCTAGGTGACTCACAAGCAGTGTCCATGGAGGTGGGCTCGGAGTTCATGGTCTTGCAGCATTGCCCTGCCAAAGCCAGCATTGTCCTGGGCCTGCTGGGTCAGTGCATTATGGGACTTAAACGTGTGGACCCATGACCAGGTAGCAGCTGTACAGATCTCTTGGATCGGCACCTGAACCAAGAAGGCTGCTGCTGATGCTTGCGCTCTAGTCGGGTGCACTTTGACTATCACTGGTGGAGACACATTTGCCAGCTTGTAGCAATAACGGATGCAGGCCGTGATCCAGGATGAAATCCTTTGAGCAGACACTGGGCGACCTTTCATCCTGTCTGCCACTGCAACGAACAGCTGCGTTGATTTACAGAACAGCCGTGTCCTGTCGATATAGAAGGCCAGTGCCCTCCGGACGTCCAGGGCATGTAACCTGTGCTCCTCTTCGGATTTATGAGGCTTTGGAAAGACCAGTAAGAAAATGTGCTGGCTGGTATGAAACTGGGAAACTACCTTGGGCAGGAACGCCAGATGCAGCCGTAACTGGATCTTGTCTTTGTAGAACACCGTGTAGGGTGGTTCTGACGTAAATGCCCTGATCTCAGACACTCTGTAGGTGGATATAACCGCCACCAGGAACATAACCTTCCAGGAGAGGAGAGCAGGAAGCCAGAGATTCGAAGGGAGCCCCATGAGTCTCCACAGCATGAGAGTCAAATCCCAGGGAGGGACAGGATCCCGGATGTGAGGATAAAGACGCTTCAGACCTTTCAAGAACCGGGCCATCATGTCATGAACGATGACCGACCTGCCTTGGAACAGAGGGTGAAAAGCCTCAAGAGCAGCTAGGTGGACCTTAATCGACGACAGGAAGAAGTTCTCAACTTTGACGTGCAGAAGATAATCCAGGATCACTGGCAGCAAGGCCTGTGTGGCCTGGACGCGTTGATCCGAAGCCCAGCACGTGAATCTTTTCCACTTTGCACGGTAAGTCGCTCTGGTTGAGGGCTTTCTGCTACCCAGCAAAACCTGCTGCACCCGGATCGAGCATTCCCACTCTTCCGCATTCAGCCACCCAGCAGCCATGCTGTCAAGTGCAACGCCTCCAGGTTCAGGAGACTGCTGTGGCCCTGGGACAGCAGGTCCAGCCAGAGAGGGAGTCACAGCTGCGTGGCTACCGAAAGGTCCAGCAGAGTGCCGAATCAGTGCCGGCGAGACCATTCAGTGGCTATCAGGATAATCTTTGCCTTGTCCTGTTTAATCTTCACGAGGACTCTCTGGATCAATGACACCGGTGGGAAGGTATACATCAGGGCTCCCGACCACGGAAGCAGGAAAGCATCTGACAGGGAACCCCCATCCATCCCCCGGAGCAAACAGAATATGTGGTATTTCCTGTTCTGACGGGACGTGAACAAGTCCACCTGGGGAATCTCTTACTTTCGGAAGATCATACTGGCCACCTCCAGATGGAGCAACCACTCGTGGTGAGATGAGAAGGTCCTGCTGAGGCGATCTGCTAGCACAGCGTTTCTCAAACTGGGTTCCGTGGACACCGGGGGGGTCACCGAGGGCCTCGCTGATCAACTCCCCTCCTTCCCCCCAGCACTAAAAATCCAGTGGAGCAGCGGGACTAAGGCAGGCTTCCTGCATGCCTTGGCTCCGCGCCGCTCCCAGAAGCGGCCAGCATGTACCTGCGCGCCAACTCCGCAGCTCCCATTGGCTGGGGGCCTTGCCTGTGGGCAGGGACAGCGCGCGGAGACCCCCCGCCCCCTGCCTAGGAGCTGCTGCCAGAGGGATGTGCCGGTCGCTTTCAGGAGCCGCCAGAGAAAAGCGCCACCTGGCCAGAGCCTGCACCCCGCACTCCCTCCTGTATCCCAAACCCCTGCCACAGCCCAGAGCCCACACCCCTCACACCCTCCCAGGGACATGGGTCAGGGGTGGAGTGGGGGCAGAGCCTGGGGCTGAGCAGGGAGGCTGGGGGAGGGGGTCCCTGAACATTTTTAAATCAAAATGAGGGTCCTTGGGTTGCTGAAGTTTGAGAACCGCTATGCTAGCACATTCTTGGTCCTGGACAGATACGCTGCTACCAGATGAATGGCATGTTGCACACAGAAGTCCCAAAGGCTGAGAGCTTCTTGGCAAAGGGCTGACAATCTCGCTCCGTCATGCTTGTTATGCAATACATCTTGATGATACTGTCCGTGAGAACCTGCATCACCTTGCCCCTCAGGTGGGGCAAGAATTGCCCGTAGCTCCCTGAAATTGATGTGAATGGCCAGATCGTGTCACAGCCAGCAGCCTTGAGTGCTGAGCTCACCCAGTTTGGCTCCACATCCCAGGTCCAAAGCATCAGAGACCAGGCTCCGCGACAGGGCTGGAGCCATAAAGGGAACACCCTCCAACGCTGACCGAGGGTTCAACCAACACTCCACGGACGACAGGATGTGATCTGGCACCCTGACTACCTGGTCTAGATCGTGTCGATGTAAACTGACAGCAGCCACGTTTGCAAAGGCCGGAGCTGGGCATGCATGATTGACCAATATGTATAGGCTGCCACATATCTTCCTGTCTGCGGTTGCTAGGCTATGAGCCATTGTGAGCGGGTGGTTCTTCACATGGGAGATTAGGTCTGACATGGCCTGAAAAAGCACCTCTGGAAGGAAGGCTCTGGCTCACGTGGAGTCGAGAACCGCCCCAATGAACTCTATGCACTGGACTGGCCTTAAGGTGAGTTTTTTTCTCGTTTATCAACAGACCCAGGTCGCAGCAGGTGAAACGCACCAGATTGAGGCTTCTCTGCACTTGTTCCGGAAACCTGCCCTTGATGAGCCAATCATTGAGATACGGGATGACCTGGACCCCTCTGAGGTAAGCGGCCACTGGTGCCATACATTTCATGAAGACCCTTGGAGCCGATGAGAGGCCAATGGGGAATGCCATAAATTGGAAATGGCATTTGCCCACTAAAAAATGGAGGAAATGTCTGTGACCTTGGAATATGGAGATATGGAAATAGGCGTCTTTCAAGTCGAGGGCACCGTACCAGTCTTCCGGATCCAGGGAGAGGATGATGGAGACCATGCGAAATTTCAACTTTTTGAGAGACTTGCTGAGGTGTGGCAGGTCCCAAATGGGTCTGAGGCAGTCTTTTGCTTTCAGGATTAGGAAATAATGGGAGTAGAATCCTTTCCCTGTCGTGTCCCGAGGGACCTCCTCCACCACCCCCACGTGCAGGAGCTTCTCGACCTCTTGGATGAGGAGTTGCTCATGAGAAGTGTCTCTGAAGATGGATGGGAAGGAGGGAGGGGTGGAAAGAGGAGTGGCCGAAAATGGCAGGGTGCAACCTTGAGACACTATGTCCAGCACTCAACAGTCTGAGGTGACTCGGGACCGGGCTGAGCAGAAGGGACAAAGATAGTTGAGGAAAGAGCAGCGTGGATCATGGGAGGTGATTGGGGCATCGCTCTCGACCGCACCTTCAAAATGAGTGTTTCTGGACCCTGGGGTGTTTTGCTGGGCTGGGCTGCGCAGGTGAGCTGGAGGAAGGGTGACGGTGGCTGAAACTAATGCCTCCGTCCCTTCTCCTTGCAGACCCTCTGCCAAGGCCTGGGCGGCAGCCGGAACGGCTTTCTCACAGGCTGCGATGTATGCATGACCAGCGAGC